CTCAGAGACGTCCTGTGTCCTGATTTTTAACATGAAGCTGTTTTATTCAGTGTTTTTAATGGATGGAATCATCTGCAAACTTAGAGGGGGGGGGGTCAGTGTCGAGCAGATTTACAAATTTTGTCGTAAACCTCGGGGAAGGCCCCTTTACAGCCCAGTTCCTCTCTCAGTCTGTGATACAGTTGTCCATCAAACATCTCCCAGAACTCCTCTCGGTCCATATACACATCTGCATACAGCATCTGGAACCTGCAGGAGTCACAGAGACAGATAAACAGTAGGTGTGTCAATGTAATACCATGGACATAAAAAAGTGTGATATTTTTGTAGAAAGACTGTAATGTCTTAGTTACAGATGCTAAATGTCACATATCCCTTGACACTTACCCGTGCACATCTCTCACAAACTTCTCCAGCTGACGTGTTGATGCTTTAGCTTCAAAGTGTTTGACTTTAGGTTCTCCGTAAGCCCCGATATCCACGTACAGCTCCGCCTCTTCACCTTTGGGATGAACCATCCCTCTGCCTGATGGCAACAGGAACGGACACAGCCACAGAGGGTAAACCTGAAATATCACACACAGCGTTTGAAGATTTTAATAAATCTGTCCCGAAGGCTTATTTAGAGTATTTAGAGGGTTTGTCTACATGCAAGTCTTACACTAATGTCCTCGTGGAAGCATGTGATGGCGGCCTGCAGATGCTTCATGGGAACCAGCATGTCCTGGACCACGTGGTGCTGTTCGTAAAGCCGCCTGATGGTCTCTCCCTGTGTGAGCTTCAACAGAGAGATCTTCGGAGGAACCATCCATCCGAAAAGACAGCGAAAGACCGGATTGTTACCGAATGGGATGATGTCCTGAAGAAAAGACATAAGAAATAACACAAACAGGTTAAAAGAATATGCCAAAGTGTCTTTCTGTGATGCTGTGAGATACGACTACCCTGAAACTACTCATTTATCAAGCAAAAATCCAAACGTCTACTGATTTTAATCTCAGCATCTCAAATGAGAAAAGATGCTGCTTTCTGTTTCACTGTTTTTCTGTGTTGTGTAATTGAATATTCAATGTCTCCGAGTGTTGGACTTTGAGTTAGACAACAGGAGGGATTTTAAGTTGCCACATCAGTCTCTGTGAACTTGTGATTTCCTGGATTCACCAAAAATGACAGTAGTTAATTGAAGACCTATTAAAAAAAGATGAACATGCATGTACCTAATAATAATTAAACACACATGTTCATCTGTTTTTAGTCAGTCTTCAATTAACTACTGAATACCAATGAATTTAAAGCATCAAAATGTTTTAGTTTCAAAATTATTGATTAGAATAGATGTGGCTTGAACAAAAACCTTGTTGTTCACAAATTCAAATGCAGGATTCCAGTGGACATTGTTTACTCATCTGATGTTAGATCTCATTGAATCATGTGACTGACAAAAGGTAACATCTGATCAATTCACCCAGACTTGATTGCTTATTGTAAAAAGCTCAAATTCCTAAGCTTAGAGATTTGGATCTTTAATTTTGGTGTGTTCATTTCTCTATTCCAATTTGAGCAACACAATATTTATTTGTTTTGAATTCTTCAACAAAAATTTGGCTTCATGCATTTATTGAACTCAATTAGCATTTTAATTTATCTCAATTTAAGATTTTAAATAATGGTTAAAGAGTTTTTCCTGTTCTGGAAAATTCCTAACATGGGAATTCAAACCTCATAGACTCACATGGTTTTCAAAATAAAACATTTCAGTGTTATCAATTCAGTGGCTTTGAAATTCAAACATTAAATATTTAGCAGTGATTCAATTTAACAATTGAATATTCAGTTCAGATTTAATTGCTTCCAAACATGTGACAAACTTCTTAAACCTCTCTTTCATTACCCAGACGCTGCACTTTTTTCCTCTTTTTCATTTGAGAAGGAGAATATTATCATGATTTTTAAGAAAAAAATATTGTAAAAAATATAATTATCCTGATTTTATTTGCTAATAAATAGGTACCATTTAATATGACATTTACATGAAAGATATCATAATTTAAAACTTCACATGAGGATGTAAATTATGTTTGAGCTTCATATGATCACTCCTCTTACATTCCACCAGAGGGCAGCAGCAACTCACCAAGCAGTGCCAGATACTTATTGGCTCAATGAACAACACATCAGTGACGTCCATGACAAATTTTGGATTAATGATTTAATGAAAGCATTGCTCTAACTTTCCTCTGCACCATCCAAAGGAACAAAATCCTTTCAATACAGAGAGCACCCAAAAGCCCAGAGCCAGCTCCTTTAGATATCTGTCAAACCAATACCATGCATAATTCATCACACCATTTACTGTTACAGAACACAGAGGATGCCAAGCCCCTCTCACTAATGGCTAATGGTGTGTGTATATGTGAGTACAAAATGTGTGCTTTGTGAATACCTGAATCTCCCAGAAGATGCTGCGTGTGTGTCTGTGGTAATACTGTCTCAGAGGAATGTACTCCACCCCAGTGTGGTCTCTCTTCAGGTAGCTCTCCACGTGTTTGAAGAACCAGGGTTTAAAGTGCAGCCCGATTCTGTTAATCTGGTGCAGGAGAGGAGAAAAGTGAAGTTACAAAAGTGAAGTCACACGTGAAAAACAAATTTACATTCATAATTACACATGAAGGTGATGATGCTTTCGCAGTTCTGGCCCCTGCACTACGGAAAACTCTCCCTGTAGATTCACAGTCTGCAGTATCTGTCGAAGCCTTTAAAGTACAACTGAAAACCAATTTATTCACACTAGCTTTTGTCTCACCATGTGCACTGTTCTGTCTATCCATACATTTGTATTGTCTTTCTGTTGCCGGTTTTACATTGTTTATATCATAGTAGTGGTGTTCCTGTTCTCTTGTCCTGTGTTAATGCTCCAGAGCTACTTCTGAATTATTCCTTGTCATTAGAAGTGACATTCTGCGCAGAACCTTTAATAAAAAGTTTATGGTGCAGAGTAAAGTTAGAAAACTTTATGTTCATCCTACCTTGTTTATCTGCAATTAAGTGAATTTTACAGTGAATGTTTTACAAAAAATGAAACTTTATTACTTCTTTTCAAATGTTTGGCTTATATGCAAGTTTGAATGATTTACTGAACTGAATCTTTTCATACATTGCATGACAGTTATTTCAGAGGTCTGTCACAATCTTGAGACCCAAGTTCTAAACCTTTCAAAATAAAAGCTCTAATTAGCTGGATATAAAGCATTGCAGCAAAACAATCTAACATGCTTTTATTTTGAAGACAAACTGCAAAACAAAAAATGAGCTGTTTGTCTGTGTGTCAGTTGTATATGGTGGAATTAAAATGAAGAAATTATCAAAATGATCTGGTGGCGATTTTGACCCAGTTACCAACCACTGCTGTAGTTTATCTGAGGACTTAGAAGAAGAAGGCACACTGCCCCAATTCCACTGACTGCTACAGAGCACAGATTGCCTGTTTATTCATTCTTTCTTTCTTAATAATGATTGCATGTCCATATCACTGGGCACTGCACTGAAATGAGCAATTTAAGATACAAGTGAAGCCAACAAGATGATCAGTTTGCAAGAAATGCATTCCACATACAGAGACATTTGTGGAATTAGTAGGTAGATATATCTATTGTGTGTCACTACTTTCTTGTGTTATTTTATTCATGTAAAGCACTTTGTGACTTAGGTCTGAGAAAGGTGCTACATTGCATCAACTTTTCTTACATACACATTACCTTATCAGGCTCTGCGTGGTCAGTCATGGTTCCCGTCATGATGACAGCAGTGTCCAGACTGTACTGGAGGCCCTCGACAAACGTGTTCTGCTTGTTCTCCGATGCTTCGGTGAAGCGCTTGCAGATGTTCTCCAGCCCTCTGACTGGCTCATACTGCAGCTTCACCCAGGACTTAGCAGGGACTATTTTAATTTCAGCTGCAACCAGGAATCCCAGAGTACCACAGGACCACGGGACAGCATGGAACAAGTCAGAGTTTTCCTCCTATGTGACAGAAAAAATATATATATGAATGTATATGTATTTCCTGTTTGAACAAGAACAACCAGCTCTACAGCACACTTGCAATGATGTGTGTGGTTTCTGTCTTCTCGTATCTAATGTTTGTCTTTCATGTTGACTTTTAAAACTAACCCGCTAGCAAACCTCACAGCATCGACCACAAGGAGGCCACTAATCTGTTTCCTCTAGTCAACAGTCTCCTTCCCTTTATTCTGCATCACATCACCTATGGGATGGCTGTGGCTTAGGAGGAAGAGCGGGTGGTCCACTAATCAGAGGTTCTCCCTCATTCCACATGCCTATGTATCTTTGGGCAAGATACTAAACCCCAAATTGTGTGAGTGAACATTGCACATACACTACACGCACAATGCAGGGCTGCAGCCTTAAATTGCAATTTGGACTTGGAGTTGAAAGTAAATGTTTGAATTTGAAACCAGAAACTCAAGAGCCGGGAGGAGGAGAGGGCACAAAGCAAATGTCGATAATCCAGTGACTTACACACTCCCTTACAAACTGAGACTAACACTGGAGGTGCTGAACAACCAGGACCATTATGAAGCTATGTTCATGTAACAGAGTCAAGCAACGTCAACCTCTCTCTTAGCCAACCCAAGGTCAAGTTATAGATAAAGAACCAACCAACCAACAGAACATTGTAGTGTCTACGCTTGGAGACTTTCATATCTAACTCAGATGCCCCAGACAGAGACATTAGTGGCAAAACGTAAGGACACTATGTGATTTAGGAATGCATACTCTGGGCTGAACTATCCAATAGGATGCCAACACCTACATGTTGCATAGAGAGTGACAGCAATTCAAGCCATTCATTGATGTGCTGTTAGAATGGATGACGCACGTAGAGGAAGATACAGTATATGGGGATGCTGTGGGAGACATCTTCAGACTTGGGGGTGACAATTGCTCATGTTACTGTTAGTGTTTGTATATTGTTCCACCTTCTGGTCTCCTTGATGCATCAAGTCTACATTAAAATCTTCTGCATAAGACATCAGCTTGAGTTTTCCTTTCCCCAGCCTCCAGAACACTATCATAACAATTATCAGTCAGTTGCACACTTCTCACAGGGGGTCGTAGCATAGACATAGAGCAAGGCCAGACGTTCATGGTGAGGAATGGGAATGACAGAGGCTCCATTCTCCTGACTCCAAGATAGTGTAGCATCAAACTTATTTCGAAGCTGGTGTAGCTTAAAAAGTGATTATGAACATTTTTTATGACTTGTGAAACACATTTGTGTTCTTTATGTCACAATGAACCAGCAATGAATAAAAACAGTCTCAAGGGATGAAATAGTTTCTGCTGCCGAGGCAGACAAGGTGCAGGTAGTGCTTTGTGATGCTCTCTAATGACTGACACACACACACACACACACACACACACACAC